AATGCTATGGGAAGGGAGGAAAACAGGTTCGTGACGTAGGAAGTGGTGAAGGAAGTAGTAAAGGCGAGTGGACTGTGGGATCTGTTTATGACCAATAGATTAGGGTAAGTTCAATCCAATAATGCTAAGGGAAGGGAGGGAAACAGGTCCGTGACGTAGGAAGTGGTAAAGGAAGTAGTAAATGCGAGTGGACTGTGAGATCTGTTTATGACCAATAGATTAGGGTAAGTTCAATCCAATAATGCTAAGGGAAGGGAGGGAAACAGGTCCGTGACGTAGGAAGTGGTAAAGGAAGTAGTAAAGGCGAGTGGACTGTGGGATCTGTTTATGACCAATAGATTAGGGTAAGTTCAATCCAATAATGCTAAGGGAAGGGAGGGAAACAGGTCCGTGACGTAGGAAGTGGTAAAGGAAGTAGTAAAGGCGAGTGGACTGTGGGATCTGTTTATGACCAATAGATTAGGGTAAGTTCAATCCAATAATGCTAAGGGAAGGGAGGGAAACAGGTCCGTAGGAAGTGGTGAAGGAAGTAGTAAAGGCGAGTGGACTGTGGGATCTGTTTATGACCAATAGATTAGGGTAAGTTCAATCCAATAATGCTAAGGGAAGGGAGGGAAATAGGTCTGTGACATAGGAAGTGGTAAAGGAAGTAGTAAATGCGAGCTGTCCGGTGTGTGGGAACTGTTTATAACGATTAGATTAAGGTATCTACAATCTTAATATTCTATGGGAAGAGAGGGAAACAGGTCCACGACGTAAAAAGAGGTGATGGAAGTAGTTATGTGAGGAGTGAGGAGTGTGGGAACTGGAAACCGTTTGTAGCAGTTAGATTAATGTACAGTATCTGCAATGCTGAAATGCTATGAGATGGGATGGAAGCATACCCACGACATAGAAAATGGTGAAAGAAATAGTAAAGGCTAGCAGTGCGGTGTGTGGGAAATGTTTGTGGCAATTAGATTAACGTATCTAAAATACTAAAATGCTATGGAAAGTGATCAAAACAGGTCCACGATGTAGGAAGTGGCTAAGGAAGAAGTAAAGTATGAGCATAGTGCGAGAACCGTCTATGGCAGTTAGATTAATGTATCTTCAAACCTAAAATGCTATGAGAAGGGAAGGAAACAGGCCCAACGACGTAGGAAGTGGTAAAGGAAGTAGTAAGGCTTGCAGTGCTGAGTGTGGGAACTGTCTTTGGCAATTACATTAATGTATCTGCAATCCTAAAATGCTATGGGAAGAGAGGGAAACAGGTCCACGACGTAGGGGGTGGTGAAGTAAGTAGTAAAGGTGAGCAGTGTTGAGTGTGGGAATGGATTAATGTATCTGCAATGTTAAAATGCTACGGGAAGAGACTGTAGACTGTAGGTTAAAATGATTACGAAGCACGAATCGATACATATTTCGATACATGGAATCGTTTACAATAGAAATTTACAACTGAGTTGACAACAGCTGATTTTTACTCCATAGAGGCTAAAAACTATTTTTACTCCCTAAAGAGTAAAAATGCTACTTTAGACCCGCAACGTATGCATTAAAAACGACTGTTTTTACTGCAGTATGACAAAAACAATATAATATGAACCCTTGATGACTCCGCTCAATTTTGTGGATGCCTCTGCGAACGCCACCTAGTTAAGTTTTTATTACATAAATTGTGGAGCAAAGTCTAATAAAATAAGAAAAACACAAAATCCCCTATTACAGCCAAAAGGTAAAAAATCGGACACGGGTTTATAGGGACTTTTTTGTTCCTTTTATTGAGTAGAACCCACTGGCGAAGTAAACACGGTCAGTAGAAACTCACCCTGTATATATATGTCCATCCGCACGATAACTTGAGTAATTTTTGTCCGATTTTGATAAAATTTGGTTTGAAGGTGTAAGGCGGGATAAACTTGAACGAGTTCGCGAACCAGCATGATCGGACTATGGGAACGGGGGTTTACGGGGGGTTTTATGGGGTAAAAATAGGTTTTTCCCATTTTTGACCCAAAAAACATAAAATTTTGCAAAATCTTTCCAAACCATTTTGTAGAGCTCAAAAAAAACAAATAATTTAGTATCTATATAATTAATACGCTACATGAAACTTTGTCGGTTGAACTTCTCCGCCATTTCTTAACCGATTTTATCCATTGACGTCTCATTGGAAAGAGTGTGTCGCGTAGATTTGCAAACTGGCCTTACATTTTTGAAAAAGTCCCTTGGGCTCTGCCCCAGTGGCTTCGAAAGTTCCCATGTTATCCTTATGGAGAACATAATTGTTTACATTTTGATCAGCTGTATAATATTATTGCAGTACATTTATTTACTATTTGAGTTTGTGTAAACATAACCCCCAAGACGGATCGTGTTAGTATGGCTGTATCTTAAATTTGTGCATTTATCGTGGTTTTTTGTAGCTATAATTTGTTTATTTGTTTCTTTCTTTTAAATTCCTCAGACGTGACGACAACGAAACATAGACAGGAGGCGTAGTCTAATCGTGATAACGACCGCAGCTAAAGAACAGTGGCTTAACTCATCACAGTCAGCACCTGACCCTGGACAATCTCAACTATTAGGTTACCAATGCTAACACTACCCCAAAACGACTTTTCGTTCTCAATAATTGGCCCTCTATCAATGATAGAGGGCCAATTATTGAGAACGAAAATCTATCAATGACCTGTATTGCCTGTACAGCGAGGCATTTTGAGAAGGAGAAAACCGACCGGAATGCTCTAGGTTTATCAATAAAAAAGATAAACATGGACAACCTTATTTGGCTATAAGTCAGGAAATGTTTGTAGAAAACATTAAAAAGCAATACCAGGTTATGAAATATGATCAAATATTTACAGGAAATGTTTATTACCGTTATATACATTGTGAATTTCTCCATGAGTTACACACCGGTAATCTTTGAGTTGACTCTTTTAAACTCATTGTAAATATGACCTGTGCAATTCGTTTTGAAATAACTCCTGCAATACGTTGCAATTGCTCGAATTCGAGCAACATGTACACTAGTATTGAAGTATTACTATAAGCCTAATGGTTACGGAGAAAATTCCAAAAAAATGTAAATTTTAAATTCCCATGTTATTCTTATGAAGAACAAGTAAACTGTTGTAGTTTGCTTGTTTATGAACATATTTTGATCAAATTTGGAAAATGTTTTTATTTCTTACTAACTATTAACATTAAAAAAAAACAGTTTTACCCTCCCTGATGCAGCAAACCTAAGTACCTGTTAAACTAATTCTATTTAAATAGGAAATAAATGTTAAATTGGTAAGTAGACATTTTAGTTTAAATCCAATCAGGCAAATGGAAATTCGCTTAGTCTGCAGGTTTGCTGCGGCGGGGGTATTTGGAATAGATTTTTTCATATACATAGGGTGACAACTTTGATAATGTAAGTACTGCATTTTGTTAGTTTCTTTTAAATGAATTTTTGTTTTAAGTTTTTGATTGTCAATAAAGACATCAACATCTAAGAAAGAAACAATTTTGTCTGAATAATTCCAAGTAAATTTCAAGCAAAAAAAAATTTGTTTCAATCTTGTAGAAATTCTTTTAGTGAATTTATTCTGTGTTGCCAAACAATAAAGATATCATCTATATATCTTAACCAAAGAAGAGGAGTTAAAGGATTGTTTGAAAGAAAATTTTGCTCTAATAGACCCATGAAAAGATTAGCGTAGGCTGGGGCCATTCGTGTACCCATTGCTGTGCCTTTAATTTGTAATAAGTGTTTGTCCATGAATCTGAAATTGTTCATGGTTAGTATCATTTGAATGAGAGTTGCCAAAAAATGTGTAGAAGGTTTAGAATTTTTGGGTCTAAGAGTTAAGAAAATGTTTGGCAGCCTTCAGACCATCATCAAGGGGAATATTTGTATATAGTGATTCAACATCAACTGTTACAAGTAATAAGTCTGAATTTTGAGGGAGGTTTTAAGACTGCAATTTTGTTTATGTAGGATGGTAAATTTTGTACTAGTGGCTGTAAATGTTCATCAACAAAGGCAGAGATTCTTTCAGTTGGTGATCCAATACTTGAGACGATTGGTCTTCCTGGTGGTGGTCTTGATGGTTTATGCACTTTAGGGAGAGTGTAAAATACTGGAGTTTTTGGGATATAAGGTGTCAATAAATTAATAGTTTTCAAAGATAAGTTTTCATTTAGGCCGCATTTTTCTATAAACTCTATATATATATTAATATATATATATATATATTAATATATATATATATATATACATATAAATCTATATATATATAAATTTGAACGAATGGTGTTTTGGCCTCTGGGGACATCAAAATGAAAAAGTAAATCGGTCCCGGGCCTAGGTCTTACCGTGCCACCTACAGTAATAGCTATTTCCCTATAGGGAAATTCGCTAAAACCCTGAATATCTTCAATTTTATAGGGAAATTCGCTAAAACCCTGAATATCTTCAATTTAATAATCACAGTCACAACACTCGTTTTAAAAATACTGCGCTGTTAGAATCCCATCGCCTTAGTAGTAATTGCCACATAATCTTATCAATTAAAGTGTATAATTCAGTACAAAATAATATAACTATTCATTCATTTAACAAGTTTAAGGCTATGTTTTATCATTATCTGCTTCAAAACACTTTTTATAGTCTGGATGGTTATTTTAAACTGGGATAAACTTTCCTTTAGTTTGGTTTTTATTTCGGTACAGAATGTGAATGGTGTGAATAGTGAATGTTGTAATATTTGGCCTATAAGAGTATTTTGTGGTTTATGTTTAAGACTGGGTTTGAAAACTGCAAATAGACTTTGTCAATGATATGTAAATGTATGGCACATAAAGATTGATTGATTGATATATATTATGAATATGTCAACTGGTTTTCATATGAATGCTTTGTCCAAATATAGAATGGCTTAGAAATTAAAAATTTGTATTGAGATATGTGTGTGATCTTAGATCTGTGTTCAATTATGTATAATTAAGCCTAATGGCCTTTCCAGATCAATCAAACACGTGAATCAGAAGAGGGAGATGAAGACCTACATAAAAGATGCGAGGAAACTATTTTCAATGAGGATCAATACAAAAATCCAAATGAAGAGGAGGTCAAAGTGAAGAAAAAAGTTAACATAATCACAGAGGAGCCGAATGAAACAACAGCATTGAAGAAGGACTCTGAAGCATCTGACTCTTTAGCAGATAGGTCAGTAATTAGCAATGGTTTAGAGAAATGTCTAACAATGACTGGGACTGTCAAAAGAGGTAAAAAGGCTGGACAAAACCTAGATGTTAGGTTGAAAATATCACGAGAAGAGCTGGAAATGTTGGATGCTAATATCGCTGCTAAAACTCAGCAGTCATGCTTTACTTGTGGCTTGATGGCTGGTCCTCATGTTTTTCTATGGACCTTACTTTGCTTCCCAGTTGCAGTAATTGTATCCTCTGTGTATTCATTTTACATGGGAACTATGATGTGGTATAATGTGTTTACATATGTCACAGAAGAGGCAGGAATCATTTGGAGAATTCTGCTTTCACCGTTTCTAATTTTATTTTATCCACTTTTCATTTTAATTTGCTCACTCGGCCTGGGTTTTTATGCTGGTATTATTCAAATTTCTTGGTTTTATGACAATTGGATTAAAAAAATCACCGATCTTGAGAAAGGATTTTATGGCTGGTTATGTTCTATTGTTCATTTAGAAGACTGCTCGCCATATGAAGTTATTATACTTTCAGACATTAAGATACCCTTTAACACAGCATCCCAAGACACATTGGCGAACTAATTTATAAAACCCATGATTCACATATCAAACAACACTTGACAACTTGCATATATTTTTTCTGTGACAGATACAGGGCCTTCATAAAGTCTGTTAACAAATAAATGTGTTTTGTTTAGAATAAACTTTGACTATTGTATAAATCAAGGAAATAAGTTCCATCCTAAATTGTATGTTTACTCATGTACCTACATATATGAAACTTCAATTTTTTTGAAAATAATTTTAATTCTTAGACAGTTAGTTTTGTCCAATAGTTGTGGAACTTTGAATGTGTCCTAGATAAGACCCTTTTAAAAATAAAAATCAATGAAGAAGATACCTATCACAAATTTATCAATCGCTTTTAGTCATTGTTAGAAGTCGTGGCTGTCCACATATGCAGTGTATGGAATGATTGCTGGTGTAATCTACTACGAGGTTTTTTTTTCTCCAAGAGGAAATTTACAGTACCAATAAAACAAGTAAAAGGGGTACTTGAAAAATTGCATCTAAAATCACAATTTCATACCAGGGACATAGCTAGAGTATATGGCGCCCTTGACGAATAGCACTGGGTTGCAGCAGCAAAGGGGGGACAAGGGTTCTCCCCCGGAATTTTGCAATTTTAGATGCAAAATAGTAAGTTTTGGGTATTTTAACAAGAAGTTTTTTTACATATATCTCATAGTAATTTTAAATGGTAAGATTTGTGTGTTTTAGTTAGTTATTTTAATATCTCATAGATTTTTTTTATGGTAGCATAGTTGCTGAATATTTGGCCACGACTATTATTTAAGAGTCTTCAGAAGTGCGGCGATATCATTTTGTTGTCAAAATAAAGGTATGGCCATTCTCTAGGGAAATGTCTTTTTGTTATTTTTTTAAACAAATTCTAATTCAGTGTATTCTAATTTTCCGTAAACAGTTAAAGCTTGTTTGAAAAAAATAAAAAGGCATTTCCCTAGAGAACAGTTGTACCTTTAATTTGACACCAAAATTATATTTTTACGACAACCTGGAAAGGCGTTATGCGGTCTCAAGTTTAACATTAGTCTTATGGTACTATCTTCAAGGTCGCGGCACTACTGAAGACTCCTTAAAAAGTCAATTTACTTACGAAAAATAGACATAGGCCTATATAACTGAAAGTTGTTGGCGGCATCATCATCAGTGTGATATACATAATAGTATGTATAGTTTGAATCGGCACAACAGTGTTAGTTAAATTTTTAACAGGTTTGCTGTTTTATACCGTAGTGCAGCAGAGGCCGATCCTTGAGCACACTACCTGTAGGTCTATTGTCTATTAATATAAGATCAATGACAACCAAAAATTAATAAAAACTTCATAAGCAATTTAATTTTAAAGACATTTAAAAAACCTTGTTACAAACATAAACAATAAAGCAGTCTGTGACCAGGTTATGTTAAGCCCGTTTGTTGGGCTCCTTGTTGTCACTACTACCATTGACTATACAGGGTGTTTTTTTTAAGTGTGCCACCATTGGGATCTCAGTAACTAATGATTTTACAGTAAACTTTAAATGGGGAACATTTCCTTGTTTTTAAAGAGGCTCAAAAATAATTAAATAAAATTTTTGTAAATGGCCGCCATTTTCCAATATGGCGGTCAACTTTGAAATTTCTTATGGAACATGCTATATTTTATCATGTTTTCGGATAGAATACAGTAGACTCCCTCTAGTTCGGCTTCGGTTGGATCGGCCGCCGGATGGTCCGTCCCGGTCTCAGGGGGACAAGTCATATTGTCACGGGCGAATGACCTTCGACAGGATTCAACTTGAATGTTTAGTTTCCGGCCATAGAAGTAAACAATTCATATCAGTTTAGTTGACGGGTGCTTCTATGGGTGAATTGTTGCATATTACCTATGTAAATCTATATTACATAACCTCAAAAATACCAACAACATTTTATAAACAGTGTCTCTTCAGTCTAATATGTTGAAATGCAGTGTATAATTAAATATTTTGGACCATTTTTTTATGCGGTAGGTTCCCCCATTATTGTTTTTGAAACACCATGGTTTATTTGACAAAAATAAATTAAGCAAAACAAAGAAATACCAATCGTTAGCTTCAAGGTCAAGCTATCCGCTTGCACTGACAATCATCAATCATCTGCTCTTGCTCTTTATTACACAACTGATGTCTGCCTGTGCACTTGATATTTCACTACAGTTTGTGATTGGGTGATTATTAGCCATGACAACTTGTTGAATGTGTGGATAAAGAGAAATTAAAGAAAGAATAGAAGAACAAAGATGAAGAATAAGCGGTGTTTTTCGTCATTCATTGTTATCTTTATCATATTTTACGACTGTCGTTATTATCTTTAAGACTTATGATTTTATGCTGTTTTAAGAGTTATCTAATGTTTTTATCGACATTTATAAGTTCTGTAGTAGCCTATGCTGACTACTGTAGCAGTAGCTTGCAGTACTAGACTTTATATTGTTCTGTTCTTTACGTGATTTATTGCTGTACGTACAGAGTTGTGTAATTTTTGTTTTGCTTGAGTAAGCGTGATTTTAAACGTTACAGTTTTTATTACTGAACCAAGGTTAATGATTTAACATATCTAGATTGCGCAATACTATTATTTGTATTTTGATTATTTAAAATGCACTACAGCCGGATAGTCCGGCCGTTTTGTAGTTTGGCCAATGGTCCGGTCCCGAGGTGGCCGAACTAGAGGAAGTCTACTGTATGCAATTTAAAAACTTTTTTATTCTTTAAATTTTTTCGATAAACCCACTCGTTTAGGAGTTACAGCCTATGGAACAATGACTTTCGGTGTACATTTTACATCATGTAGCTCCTAAACAAGTAGGTTTATAGCGAAAATGCGAAGAGTAAGTAAGTCAAATAAGTCTTAAAATTGCATCCACATTCCATAAAGACCATAAAAATCGTTAAAAATATTAATTCTATTATTTCAAAAATGGCGGCCATTTTCCAAAATGGTGGCAAACTTGAAAAGTGGAAAACTATGTATTTTATGGTCTTTATGGAATGTGGATGCAATTTTAAGACATATTTAACTTATTTACTCTTCGCATTTTTGCTATAAACCTACTTGTTTAGGAGCTACATGATGTAAAATGTACACCGGAAGTCATTGTTCCATAGGCTGTAACTCCTAAACGAGTGAGTTTATCGAAAAAATTTAAAGAATAACAAAGTTTTTAAATTGCATGTTCTATCCGAAAACATGATAAATTATAGGATGTTCCATAAGAAATTTCAAAGTTGACCGCTATATTGGAAAATGGGGGCCATTTACAAAAATTTTATTTAATTATTTTTGAATCTCTTTAAAAACAAGGAAATGTTCCCCATTTAAGGTTTGCTGTAAAATCATTAGTTACTGAGATCCCAATGTTAAAAAAAGACACCCTGTATAAACACTATAGCATTGAGTATAAAAACGTATAAGAGTTGTCACATAATGCTATTAGTTGTTACCGATTTTGGTGACATAGTTTGGGCCGCCGGTGGCGGTAGTCTGTCGTTAATGCAGTGCGCCTAATGCTATTAGTTGTTACCGATTTTGGTGACATAGTTTGGGCCGCCGGTGGCGGTAGTCTGTCGTTAATGCAGTGCGCCTCCGAGGACCTTTTAATAATTTAGTATTAAAAATGTAACAATGAAACTAGAAACAAACAAAATTCATACAAAAAAATTATATTTTACAACCTGCAATGAAAGCAATAATAAAAAAACAACCAAACTGCCTTACCGACAAGCCCAAGGTGGGGTAGTTCGGGCCGCTGACACTACTCTGCAACAGAGCTGTTCAGGTAACGATAACCTCCATTGAATGGCTACTCTAGTACGTGTATACTCAATGACTATAGGTACTACGCAATTTTGATAAGACAAAATACAAAAGCGCTGTGGCGCTGCCAACTGTGCCACCAAAAAAATTTCCGCCTTGTAGTTCATACTGAAGTAGGGCGGTATTTCAATGTAGGTACAACATACAAATGCGCTCTGCTCTCTCCCATATTATTCTACGTGACAAAGTATGGACGTAGAAATGCCAGAAAATATATTTAATCTTTTTCAATTCTCGTAAGTAGCCTACCACAATTCCATTAAAACTACGAATTAAAAAAATATTTTTAATTATTCTTACAACTATTCAAAAGCCAATTTCACGCCCCAATGCTTCCTGCACCCTTAGCGGGGGCCTGTGCTGCCAATGCCTTGCTACGTCCCTGTTTCATATATGTTAAGTGTACAATATTAGTAACCAATTAAATTAAAACAACAATGTACTTTTCCTACTGTTACCTGACAAAGTGGGCTGCCTTGTGCTGGTTATAGCATGCAAAGTAACTAATTGCTGCATTTACTTAATTTTGCCGCACTTCAGTATGCCAACCAAACAACACAAAACAGTGTGCTTATATTAGGCACGTAATATGTGTATGCTTGAAAATAAGTTTGCAACACTTAAAGATACTACGACTACGATCAGCTGGAGCAGCATTTCCGATTTCATTCAACAATTGGATTCGACTTAACCTAAAATCGCTTTGTATTGTGTTTGAAAGACTAATTATTCATATGATTAGTAACTGTAGGAAAAATATAATATGTAACGCGAGCGCAAAGTGCCACTTCGCTCACTAGTTTTACAAATTTACAAAAAAGTATTTCGTACAATTTCAAATTGTTTTCCTTTTTTGTAGTACGATAGCAGAGTGAAATGAATCTAATTTTCACTGTTATTTTCAATTACTTAAAAACCTTCCATATAGACTGACGACAAACAAAATTATTTCCCCCAGCTTGAAGGAAACTGTTGATTGGTCTTCATGCAACAAAAAAAAAAAAACAAACACCATTGTGTGTTGTCTTTGTAATTTTGTGCTTGTCAGGAAACGTTATTTCTCATGCAACCTAACCCTTAGGCTTGTGCCACAGCAAGGTTTGGTTGGGTAGCTAGTATAAGAAAAGTATGGCAAGTTCAACTCGTGGTGTTTTTAGCTTTAAGTTTATCCCATAAAAAAGTCTGGGCGTATGCTGAGACACAACACATGCAAGCCAAGGTTTTGCGGCACGAGCCACATTTGAATGTTTGACTAGCGCATGTTGGGGCGCCACACACACACTACGCAGTCGCCAAGAACGACAATAGTAGCAACACTTCTGAGTCTAATATGGGAATTGATTAATTTCCCCATTAAAATGACACTACGTTTAACGTTCTAAGTGAAATATTAATAGCTAAAATTGCAAAATAAATAGCCTACGCTTGCTAAATTTAATCAAAAATATAATCATAAACAAGCTAACTATTACAGTTCAATTTTTCTCCATAAGAATAATGTTTTAAGTGTTCAGTTTTGGTTTGTCCAGAATTATTAAGCTTACTATAAAGCTTCAGTATACTAAACTTTTTGGGGTTTTAAGCTCTTAAAAACGGTTCTAGGACAAATTTTGAAATTCCATGAGGGGGTAAAATAATAAGAAAATCAAATTTTAAATTTGAAGCTCCTTTTTGATAGGTGGCAAGACTGGCAAGTCCAATGGACGCGTTGCAGAAAGTCAACAGTGCCGGAAGGTCAAATAATTTATTCTTGTCCCATTAGATCAATAACAATATATTAGTCTGTAGCGCTAGGTCAACAGTGTCACTTGGTCAACAAGTAAAGTCAGAACTAAAAACGTAGACTGTGTGTATGAGTGTGACCTAGTGGGATTTTGACTTAGTGAACAGTTCCAACGAGGACAAATATTTGATCAAATGAGTTGTACATCATTTTAAAGCTCTACTTCAACTGAAAACAATGCCGCAAACCGGACTTCAAAAGGTTGATCCAGTCGGAAGAAATCACGTTTCAAAGTTTAAAAAATGTTTAATACCATTATTTACTGTAGCTAATAGAAGTTAAGGGTAATACTTACAGAAAGTCTTTTAAAGTAGGTGTTCAAAATGTCCACCATCGGTCGTCTGGCAATATGCTTGACTTATGGCATATCTTGGCATTTTACATGCGTAATTTTTCATTCATAATAAAAGTTTAGTGGCTGCTAGACTTTTTAAAAATTAAAACTTAATTTCAAAAAAACTGGAACAATTATTTAAAATTATGGCTTTGACATTCCCGAGTTCTCAAAATTATCTTTCTTTCAACCCAAAAATCATGAAAATCCGTCGACTGGTTGATTTAGAATCGTTAAACAAAAAAACTCTTTTACGTTTTAATATATACTAGTGAACCGGTGCGGCTCAATGCCCCGCAAAAACATATGAATAAAAAAAAAATCATCGTGTTATATATTGACTCGTCGAAAATTAAATACAGTAATAATAAAGCATTATAAGGGAAGCAATCCAGCCATTTTGTAGCTGCATGCGTATTATATTTAGTAAATTAATAAGTGTTCAAGTTCAAGTATGTTACAGGGTAAAGATTTTTAAAAACACATTTAACAAAACATTTTATCATATCAAACCAATAGGCAGTGAA